GTTCAGGGTTCAGGGTTCAGGGTTGAGGGTTTAGGGTTTAGGGTTTAGGGTTTAGGGTTTAGGGGTAGGGTTTAGGGTTCAGGGGTGTTGGGCTTTGGGTTTTGCATTGATTAAAACAACAGGAACATTCGAGAGATTGACAATGGTATGGTGGCCGAGTGAATCCTAAACAACAGATCAAGAATAAGGTTGTCCAAAATAAACTATTACCGCCGCTCTCCCACCTTTTTCCCTCAACCTTATTCCGTTTATGGATACATGGTTAGAATAAACCAATTCCATTCTCTCACCTTAGGGGGCTTGAGGTTGGATATGGTTATCTATGTGTTAAGGGGTATAGGTCTGAGAATCGCCATAGGACGTGCGGTTGAGTTTCTGCCCAGAATAGGTTGTCCGGCTGTCCGGTTGGGTTTCTAAGGGGTGCTGTGGGTTTCTGAGTAAGGGTCTGGGGTGGGGAGGGGTGTGCGGTCAGAAAATGGAAATGGCCATCACTAACTTTAAACTACACTGAACCCTAGCCCTAAACCCTAAACCCCAAACCCTAAGCCCTAACCCTAGACCCCAAACCCCAAGCCCTAAACCCGAAACCCTAAGCCCTGAAACCCTAACCCCAAACTCCAAGCCCTAAGCCCTAAACCCTAAACCCCAAACCCCAAGCCCTAAACCCTAAACCCTAAACCCTAGTGTGTTGGTGTGGAGAGTATCGGCTTCCAGTTCAGACCCGGCCTTGGCTGCCATGTGGGCGTGCAGGGCTCTCTTCACGGCTGCCTGGAGGGTTTAGGGTTTAGGGTTTAGGGTTTAGGGTTTAGGGTTTAGGGTTTAGGGTTTAGGGTTTAGGGTTTAGGGTTTAGGGTTTAGGGTTTAGGGTTTGGGGTTTGGGGTTTGGGGTTTGGGGTTTGCGGTTGGGAGTTTGGGGTTTGATTAGGGTTTAGGGTTGGGGGTTTGGGGTTTGGGGCTTGGCGTTTGGCCCACCACAGAGCCATCCCGCTGCGCCCGCGTGTTTGCGCACAAGGAAGCCCCTGAACATCTGGGTTTTACGAAAACGGGGACCCCTATAGAATAGACTCCCAAAGAGTAGATCCCCATAGATCCCTCATTCTAAGGACCCAAAATAAGGTGCCCCCAAAAATCATAAACCCCCCATCTGTGGCTTGATCCGGATTGCAAGCCCTTGTCGTGGCGCTCTGTGCTTTGAACAATTTATGGAGACCCGACGCTGGGGCATGATTTGCATGGAGGGTTGAGGGCTTGGGGCTTAGGCTTCAGGAATTCGAGCCTGATGTTTGGGCTGGGTTCTGGCTCGATCGCAAGGGGAGCCGATGTTCACCGCCTGCTTTTGCAACAGGGTTGAGGAGTCCATCAAAAAAGAAGCCTTCCTCCTCTCCCCTCATAAACCCTAAGCCCTGAATCTGATTCAAAGCTGTCGGTGGGCCCCCCTTCTTACGGGAGTTTAGGGTTTCGGGTTTAGGGTTTAGGGTTTTAAGGTTCAGGTTCCAGTCTTTCGTGCCTTGATGTAGGGAAGGTGCTCCGCCACTGGCCCGGACCTCTGTAGGCACAAGAAGAGGGACTGCTGAGGGTTTAAGGTTTTGGGTTTAGGGTCTAGGTTTTGGGGTTTTGGGTTGTTTAGGTTTCAGCTTTCAGGTTTAGGGTTTAGTTTACCCTCTGGGAGGTATGTAGAGGTCGGGAACGTGTCTGCTGAAGATGGAAAAAGTGGAGTAGCTTGCAGCTGCAATAGGGTTCCGGGTTCAGGGCTTAGGGTCTCTATAACTAGGGCTAAGGTGGATAACTACAGATGCTTAGGGTTAGGGTTTAGGATGTAGAGTTTAGGATGTAGGAGTTTAGGGTTTACGGTTTAGGGTTTCGGGTTTAGGGTTTAGGGTTTAGAGTTTAGGGTTTAGCGGGATGTTCCAGCCAGGGGGGGTTCCAACAGATCTGGGCTTGGTGTTCAGGGTTTTGGGGTTTAGGGTTTAGGGTTTAGGGTTTAGGGTTTAGGGTTTAGGGTTTAGGGTTTAGGGTTTAGGGTTTAGGGTTTAGGGTTTAGGGTTTAGGGTTTAGGGGGGTGGAGTTGTGGGGCTTTTGGGTTTCAGGGGTTACGGGTTCTCGGTTTAGGGTTTGAGGGTTTTCTGCTATCAAGGTTTTAAGGCTCAGAGCTTCTCGCTTCAAGATCGGGCTCCGCACGTGTCGATGATGATGACCTGACATCCACGGTTTAGGGTTTAGAGTTTAGGGTTTAGGGTTTAGGATTTAGGGTTTAGGGTTTCGGGTTTAGGGTTTAGGGTCCACACAGAACGGGAAGACTTCCGGTGGCTGACTTGGGACTCAGCTTTTGCTACTATGGCGCGGAGGAAGGCCAGCAATACAAAAGAAACTGAAAGACTGCAACACCAGCCTCAACCCTGAACGATTAAGCCACAAACACTGCACCCTGAATCTTGAACCCTGAACCGAAAACCCTGCACCCCCAAACCCTAAACCCTAAACCCTAAACCCTAGACCCGAAACCCTAAACCCTAAACCCTAAACCCTAAACCCACCAACCCTGCAGCTAAGAACACTAAGGCATAGAAACGCCCTTCCTAGGGCGAAGGAGGAGAGCAACAAGCAGGGACGGGCTTGGACTCGTGCTCTCCAAACATGAATGCATTGTAGGGCTTCGGGCTTAGGGTTTAGGGCTTAGGGTTTAAGGGTTAGGGCTTAGGGCTTAGGGCTTAGGGCTTGGGGTTTAGGGCTTAGGGCTTAGGGCTTCGGGCTTCGGGCTTAGGGTTTAGGGCTTAGGGTTTAAGGGTTTAGGGCTTAGGGTTTAAGGGTTAGGGCTGAGGGTTTAGGGCTTAGGGTTTAAGGGTTAGGGCTTAGGGCTTAGGGCTTAGGGCTTAGGGCTTAGGGCTTAGGGCTTAGGGCTTCGGGCTTAGGGCTTAGGGTTTAGGGTTTAGGGCTTGGGGTTTAGGGTTTCGGGTTCAAGGTTGTAGGTTCTAGGGTGGCGTCGAACCGCACTACCCGCAGCACCAGTATTCACCAATGGGGGCGGATTCTCCCTGGATGTTGGCTGGCGCTGCACGTTCGCCTCGTAAAAAGTCGATGAGGTGCTGCATTTTCCCCAATGAGCTGGCGCGTAGCCGAGCGCTGACCCGCCTCTGAATCGGCCAGCTTTTGCCGAAGAGTGGCGCAGGAAGCACCCTAACCCTAAACCCTAAACCCTAATCTGCGTGCAAAGCTCGACTGGAGACAGCCAGGGTCGGAGCCTTAGGCTCGACGGGGGGTTTAGGGTTTAGGGTTTAGGGTTTAGGGTTTAGGGTTTAGGGTTTAGGGTTTAGGGTTTCGGGTTTAGGGTTTAGGGTTTAGGGTTTAGGGTTTAGGGTTTCGGGTTTCGGGTTTAGGGTTTAGGGCTTCCACAAACCCTGGACGTCCCTACGAGACTCCCCTTTCAGTGGCTCAAAGAGATCATCTTCTAACCCTAAACCCTAAACCCTGTAAAGCCTGAACCCTGACCCTATAAACCCTAGGCCCCAAACCTTAAACCCTACAAACCCTAGACCTTAAGCCCTCTAAACCCAACCCTAAACCCTAAACCCTAAACCCTAAACCCTAAACTCTAAACTCTACACCCTAATCCCTAAACACTAAACCCTAAACCCTAAACCCTAAACCCTAAACCCTCAACCCTAAACCCTAAACCCTAAACCCCAAACCCTAAACCCTAAACTCCCGGGCCGAGGCGCTGTGTTGCGCCCCGAAGACGGTCGGATCAGGGGCTTCTCCACTTCGAGCATGGAGCCTTCCGCCTGGGAGCCCCCCAACTTAGAGGTTCGATGTTAGGGGGTTTGGGGTTTGGGGTTTGGGGTTTAGGGTTTAGGGTTTAGGGTTTAGGGTTTAGGGTTTAGGGTTTAGGGTTTAGGGTTTAGGGTTTAGGGTTTAGGGTTTAGGGTTTAGGGTTTAGGGTTTAGGGTTTAGGGAGGGTGAAGGAGTACTTGGAGGTTCATGGGTGATTTTAAGTAGGGTTTTTAAGTACCCTAAATGAGGTTAGAATTACCATTCTTATAACCCTACTTACAACTACCCAAGAACCTCCAAGTAAGGGTTTATGGTTTAGGGTTTAGTGGAGCAGGGTTTAGGGTTTAGGGTTTAGGGTTTAGGGTTTAGGGTTTAGGGTTTAGGGTTTAGGGTTTAGGGTTTAGGGTTTAGGGTTTAGGGTTTAGGGTTTAGGGTTTAGGGTTTAGGGTTTAGGGTTCAGGGCGTGTGGCTCACCAACCAGGAAACCTCTATATAAACCCTCAAACCTTAAACCCTCAACACCAAAATCCTAGGGCTCCGTCAAGCATCTTTTTATCACGAGGCGGGACCCTGCACCCAGTCAGCCCCGCATACTCGACCCTAACAAAGCCACGCCCCGTAAATGCCTGGTTCAGGGTTTAGGGCTTGTGGTCTAAGGTTTAGGATTTAGGGCTTAGGGTTTAAGATTCTGGGGTTAAGAGCAGGTTTCAGGGTTTAGGTTTCAAGGCAACGTGACCTCTTCAAGTTCTTAAGCTTTAGGGTTTAGGGTTTGAGTTCAAGGGTTTAAGGTTCAAAAGGTGCCGGGTTCAAGGGTTTAGGGTTCAGGGTACGTAGCTACCCTACTTACAACCCCATTGCACCTGGTCCCAGAGCAACCTACGAAGCAAAGAAGGTGCCCTTGTTGCTTAGAAGGGTTTAGGGTTTAGGGTTTACGGTTCAGGGTTTAGGGTTTAGGGTTTAGGGTCTAGGGTCTAGGGTTTACGGTGGGTTTAGGGTTTAGGGTTTAGGGCTTCGGGCTTAGGGCTTCAGGGCTCGGAGAACCTCACCCACTAGAAATGGGCATTTGGGTCTACCCTCGGTCCCCAAAACAGAAATACCCCCCCCCACCCCCCCCCCCCACACACACACACAAAAAGTTGTCCCAGCAGACTCCCGTTAATTTGGGAAACAGTCCTTAAACTGCAACAGGGACACACTACAATTAGTCAATTAGCGCTCTGGGCGAAAGAAGATCAACACCAAATACACGCCATCGCCTCCGCGAAAGCGTGGTAGTCCATTGGCAGCAGTACGTCCACCGCATCGGTCTCCGACATGCCGCCCTGTCAAGCTGCTCTCAGTGGCGCGAAGCCCATATAAAAAAAGGGAGTGATGAGAACTAAAACGAAAAGTGCGATGCTTTACTCCTGCTTCCTTGTTGGGGTCATGTTAAAAATGATCATTCGTATTCCTTCTTGGGAGTTTCATAATACAAAAATGTAAAGTTATGGCCAACAAGGACCCAGTTTACACTTGGGCAGACAGGCGGGTGGAGGTGATCGGAATATGGCTCATGACTCATGACTGTGATACACAGCCCTCGCGAGCGGATGGTTAGGGTTGAGGGTTTAGGGTTTAGGGTTTAGGGCTTAGGATTTAGGGTTTAGGGCTTAGGGTTTAGGGTGTTGAGACTTGCCAGTCTTGTCAGGGTCCAAAAGGTTCAGGGTTTATAGATAAGGGTTGAAGATTCAAGGTTTAACTTGAGCTGAGAACCTCACTCTTCAACCTGGCCAGGAGGGAAGGAGGGCCTTTCGTGCTGTCAATGCAACACGCTGAACACTTTGACACGGCAAGTACAAGTTGACGTATGCGGTGTACTTAAGAGCTATCGGGGTTCTGCAGAGCATGCTGGACCCTAAACCCAAAACCCTAGAACCCTAAACCCCTAAAACGCTGTAGGTTGAGAGCGCGCGGCGTCGAGCTAAAGAGTCTAAGGTCTCGACCGCCTATCGAACCGAAGCTTCAAGACGACATCAGAAAGAGGGTGTTGCTTGATGTTTTCGGGTTCGAGGGAAGAAGACCTTAAACCCTAAACGCTAGTTGTAAGTAGGGCGAGACTTATGGATACTAGACTTCGAACTCTATTTAGGGCGGTACTTACAACCTACCCATGAACCTCCAAGTACTATAAGGGCCTGAATGATTACAGTAGGGTTTTGGGGGGGGGGGGGGGGGATGACAGTAGAACTCTAAAGGGACCATAAGGGAATACCATTAGTTATGATTCCGACCCCTAAACCCTAAACCCTGAACCCTAAACCCTAAACCCTGAACCCCTTTGTACCCCTATTACTAGTAATTATTCCGACCCCTAGATTAGGTTTTAGAAAGATCCTGTTGGGTGCCCGGGCGGAGGCGGCCGAGAGCAGCGCCCGCAGCGCCCGCAGGGACGCGCGGAGCAACTTAGCAGGTTTAGGGCTTAGGATTTAGGGTCTTAGGGTTTAGGGCTTAGGGTTTAGGGTTTAGGGCTTAGGGTTTAGGGCTTGGGGTTTTGATTAGGGTTGTGCATAGAAAGCTGAGCGTTCAAGCCTCCCGGCTCTAGATGACTTACTAAACCTTGCACCCTAAACCCTAAACCCTAAACCCTAAACCCTAAACCCTAAACCCTAAACCCTAAACCCTAAACCCGAAACCGATCTCACCCGAAGTCGAGACCTGGGGGACAGCGGAGGCTTTTAGAGCCAGGAGTAGGACGTTTTAGAAGGCAAAGTCTGGTGCGGCCTCAAGCGTATTCAAAGGAAATCATCCCCTCCCCCAAATATTACAACCCCCTATTGCAAGGGTTTAGGGTTTAGGGTTTAGGGTTTAGGGTTTAGGGTTTAGGGTTTAGGGTTGCGGGTTTAGGGCTTAGGGTTTCGGGCTTAGGGATATTAACTCCCCACCCCTACCCCCTGCTAGAGCGGGGGGGGGGGGGCTATTTAATATTGGGGGTAGGGGTGTGGGGGGGGTTTAGTATCCCTAAACTCTACACCCTAAACAGGGAAAGGAGCCGTCTTGCGCTATTAATGTCACCGGGAGGAAATTAATGGCTTTTGGTTCTTTGATTTTTTGGTGGGGCGCTTGCCGCTTCCCACTTCCCACAAGAGGCACCTCCTGGTGCTGCTCCAGCTCGTCAATGTGCGTTTCGGCCTCCCAGGGTAGGGTTTAGGGTTTAGGGTTTAGGGTTTAGGGTTTAGGGTTTAGGGTTTAGGGTTTAGGTTTTAGGGTTTAGGGTTTAAGGGTTTTAGGGTTTAGGGCTTAGAGTCTAGGGTCTAGGGTCCAGGGTCTAGGGTCCAGGGTTTGGGGTTTTGGGCTTCGGGTTGTCAGGGCTTGAGCCTGCTGGGCTGCGACTGCGCAGGTTTAAAGGTTCAAAGTATAAGAGTTTGGGTTCTACGGGCCGGTGGCCTCTGTATCTGGCCCCTAGATACCCAAATAAGAACCCCGAATATATGCCCCATAAACAGAAACCATACTTAAAGGGACCACCAACCCATGTAAAGGTTTAGGGTCTAGGGTCTACGGTGTAGGGTTCGGGTGCAGGGTAGGGTTGTATGCAGGCTGCGGACAAGAGAACCGAAGATCAAAATCCCCTGCAACCCTAAACCCTAAACCCTAAACCCTAAACCCTAAACCCTAAACCCTAAACCCCCACACGCCAGGAGCCACTTCCCTCCAGACCCGCAAGGGGACGCCCAAACCCCAAACTTAACGGCAAACCCTGAACCCTGTAACCCTAAACCCTAAACCCGAAACCCTAAACCCTAAACCCGAAACCCTAAACCCTAAACCCGAAACCCTAAACCCTAAACCCTAAGCCCTTCCGTGGCTCTGCTAGCCTGGCGCAGAAACACGAAGATCTCCGACTTCGGGAGATTGTAATGGACCGGCCTGCAACTACAGGGCTTCAGAGGGTATTCAGTGTTTAGGGTATTTAGGGTTTAGGGTATTTAGGGTTGAGGGGCATTAGGGTTTAGGGCAAGTTTAGGGTTTAGGGATTTAGGGTTTAGGGTCCCCATAATCGTCATCTGTATGAGAATTCTGCGGGTGCTAGAGCATTTAAGTGTTGAGGGTTTGGGGTTGGGGTTCGAGGGTGAAGGACTGCGGGTGCTGACGGTTCCTATAGCTCGGCTTGAGCCTCTGGCTGGATGGTAAGACCTGAACCCAAACCCTTTAAGCCCTTTGACCTGAAGCTAGACTGCTTAGCCCACTCCTGCGCTCCAGTTCAGGGTTTCGGTTTTAGGGTTTACCCTTTAGGGTCTGGGATTTAGGACTTGGGGTGGGGGTTGCAGGGTTGAGGGTTCTAGAGATGAATTTGAGAGAGAGAGAGAGAGAGAGAGAGAGAGAGAGAGAGAGTTCTTTCGGGTTGAGCTTCTCGCCGTCGAAAACCTGTCGAAATGAAGCACCCTGCAAGAAGTCTATCTACGATCCACAGCCTGAGCCTCAACCGACAGAGTTTAGGGTTCAGGGCCTTCCTGCCAACATTCTAGAAGACAGCCCGAGACGCCATCCGCAAGCAGTAAGCTCAAAACCTCAGCCCTCAAGCCTCGGGGGCGTCTAGCCCAGCTACCTGTAACAAGCAAGCCGTTTAGGGTTTAGGGTTTAGGGTTTAGGGTTTAGGGTTTAGGGTTTAGGGTTTAGGGTTTAGGGTTTAGGGTTTAGGGTTTAGGGTTTAGGGTGTACAACAAGAAACCCTACAGCTTGGGATGTTCCCCCGCCTTATACTGACAGTCCTTAGTAGGGATTATAGTACCCCCTAGTATAATCCCTAGCAGGGACTGTTAGCATAAGAGGGAACATCTCGACATACAGTGCCCAAGTCACAGAGGGTAGCACGAAACCCCAAATTCTAGGTCGAGATCCCAGGTGCATGGTGACGTTCGGATCCGAACTGAGGTTAGTCTGGGGCCGCATGAATACCTCGCGCGGCAACTGGTAGACGGCCAACTGAAGGGTTTAGGATTTAGGGGTTTAGGGTTTAGGGTTCAGGGTTTAGGGTTTCTTAGGGTTTAGGGTTTAGGGTTTAGGTTCGTCCGGGCATGGCTGGATAGTGACGCTCACCGTTCCGTCTACCAACACGACTCCCACCTAGCATTCTTTCTGCGGGCTGCTAGGGCTCAGGGTTTGGAATCCAATATTGGGGCCTGAATCATTAGAATAGGGTTTTGGGGGGTATCATATTCATAAAGGGACCACAAGGGAATATTATTAGCAATTATTCCGACCCCACATTAGGGTGCTAGGGCCATGTGCAGAACGTGCCTCGAATCAGGGCACAACCCGAAACCCTAAACCCTAAACCCCAAATGGCCCTAAAACCGAAGCCTTGCCTATCCATGGAAGACAACGCCCGAAAAAAATCACCCGATAGCCGAAGAGCCACAGACCCTGAAGAACTACAACAAACTCGACTCTGCTGTAATGGTTTTAAGGTTTAGGGTTTAGGGTTTAGGGCTTAGGGCTTAGGGCTTGGGGCTTAGGGCTTAGGGCTTAGGGTTTAAGCAGCTTCCAGGTAGGGCCCAGTGTGCACGAGATGTAGGCTGAGGGGTTTGGGGTTTCGGGCTCAGGCGACCAGACGACAAAAGTCAACCAGTGGAGGGTTTAGGGTTTAGGGCTTAGGCCTGGGGGTTAGGGTTTAGGGCTTAGGGCTTAGGGCTTAGGGCTTGGGGCTGAGGGCTTAGGGCTTAGGGCTTAGGGTTTAGGGTTTAGGGTTTAGGGTTTAGGGTTTAGGGTTTAGGGCTAGGGCTACCAGACGACAAAAGGGCTTCAGCTGTGGCGCAGAGATGAAGCTGCCCGATGTCTGCAGATACTTGGCGCCCACGTACTTCCCTATGGAGGCAACCTCGGCTGCAAAAGCCTTCGGGGGCTTTTGGGCATTTTAGGGTTTAGGGTTTTGGGTTTTGGGTTTAGGGTTTAGGGTTCTTAGGGAATAAGGTACCCTATATACTCCCTTAAAGGGTATGTATTTCGCCCTACTTCCCTCTTTCCCCACGAAGAACCACGGGGTTTAGTTCTTAGGCTGGGATGTCTCCCCCCTTAGACTGACAGCTCCTTAAAAAGGATTGTAGTAACCCCCTATTATAGTCCCTACTAAGGACTGCTCGCATGAGGGGGAACGTCTCAACTTCGGGGCTTAGTGGGCATCAGGAGTCAGCTGAGGCTGAGGGTTTAGGGTTTGGGGTTTGGGGTTTTGGGTTTAGGGTTTAGGGTTTAGAGT